TGTGCTTTAGTATCCTCATCTGAAGAATGGAGATAATACAATTCTTCCCTCACAGAGTTGTTGTGAGAATTAAATGATTGCTGTACGGAAAGTGTATAAACTGCCTGTCCCACATTAAGTGCTATCTAGTACGTCTGTTGTTGTTTTTAAGCACCCCTTTCTTAAAGCTTTTTTCTTCTGCTTTTCCTAATATCAGACACTCATGGTTTTTCTCCTATCTCTCTGAACTCTCTTGTTTCTCTTCTGTTTTCATTCCCTGGCTTCTCTTTTTGCTCCCCAGGAAGGAGGAGGTATTAGAGAATACAGCCTCAATGCTCTTACTTGCCCTTTATTTCTTCCTTGGCCCCTTGGTTGGTGATGCCAGCTCTCCATCTCCAAGCCAGTCATTGCCCATGCACCAGGCCCACACCCCCAAATCCCTGCTAGATAGCCTCATCCGGATCTCTCCCTGCACCTCAAACTCAGGAGTCCTAAAACTATTTTAATATTTCTTTTATTTTTGTTTTAAAATAAATAAACAATTATTATAGAAAATACAAGAAAATTAGAATAATCAGATACAGCTCAACAGTAATCCCACCATTCAGTGAGCACCAGCGCTAAACTTCGATATATCTCCTAGCGCAGTGGTTCTCAGCCTGGTCTGAGTTTTCCCCCAGGGAACATTTGGCAATGTCTGGAGACATTTTTGGTTGTCAACTTAGGGGTGGGGGAGAGGTGCTACTGGCAGTGGTTCTCAGCCTGGTCTGAGTTTTCCCCCAGGGAATATTTGGCAATGTCTGGAGACATTTTTGGTTGTCAACTTAGGGGTGGGGGAGAGGTGCTACTGGCATCTAGTGGGTAGAGTCCAGGGATACTGGCAAACATTTTCTAATACAAGGATACTTCAAAAAGTTCATGGAAAAATATAATTAGAAGATAATGCGAATCTTTCCATGAACTTTTTGAAATACTCTCATACACAGTGCAGTCTCCCACAACGAGGAATTATTCAGCCCAATAATGCTGATGTTCAGAAACCCTGTTCTAGACTTCCGTCTCTGCATATATGTGCCAAATAGAACAGGTTGGCATTGGTTTTCTCCTTCTGCTTCCATCTTGCTTCTCCCTCTGTTCTCTGTCAGTGGCCCTGTCTTCTCCTCTCCCGTGCCCCACATCTGACCCATCCCTGAGCCCACAGATTCCCTGTCTGTCACACCTTTGTCAGCTCTCCCTTCTTCTCTCCCCCAGTCGTGATACTGAGCCCAAACTAAAGAAGAATCCTCCAACAAGACCTTCACTTCAAGTCTCCCGCTTGGCCTTGCCTGTGCCACCAGTGTGCTTGGGGACCATCCTTAGCCTGTTGAATTCAATCCATGCCTGGTACAGTCTAATCCCACTGAGGGCAGCAGCTTCTGTGTCTGAGTCACCTGTGTGCCTGGCCAGAACCTGACACCATTCCGAGCCTAAAGTCGGTGCTCAATAAATCTTTGTTGAATGTGTGTGGATGAATGGTTGAATGAAGAAAAACCTGAAAAACATTCCCCTCACAACTCCCTCACAATCTGTCTTTGCAGATCCTTGATGAATGGTTTGGCCGGACCATCATCTGCTCTTGCACCAAACTGAGCTACGAGCACGCACAGAGCATGATTGAAAGCCCGATGGAGAAAATCCCTGAGAAGAAGCTGCCTCCCATTTCACCAGAGCACAGCAGTGAGGAGGTGCACCGGGCTATCTTGAATCTCCACGAAATGGCAAAGCACTTACGCCAGCAACGCTTTGTGGATGGCTCACTCCGTTTGGATCAGGTCAGTGTTTTTCCTTCACGGCAACCAACCGATGTGACTCATGCCTAAACCCAGCGTGGGTGAGAGGCAGCATGGTAGTCCTGGACTCTTCTTTCCTTTTTCCTTCTCCGGTCACTCCACTAAAACAGCGTTCTCTGAGGAGGTGGGAACTAACTCCCACCCCCGCCCCAAACTCCATAGGCACAAGAGGCCTAATGACACAAGCCAAGGCAAAAGAATGGTGTCTGTGTGGGGGATCTGTGGCCAAAACTCTGAGCTGGTCTTTCCTCATCACGTTGTGTCCCGTATTTGATCCTCACCTCAGATTTCTACCTTAAATCCCTTTTAATGGAAATGGGAACAGGAGACAGAAGTTTAGGAGGTGTCTGCCTAGTATCTGATCCTAGAGTTAAAAAAAAAAAAAAAAAAGCATTTCTTCTTATCTCTCATCTTCTCACTCATCAGAGTTATTTGTTTACAAATTCCAGATTAGTATCTGCAGAAGCAGAGAACCGAGGAGATTGTAGAATGTTGGCTCTTGAAGAAGACAGTAAGCCTGGAATAGTGTTGCTTACTCTCAAATATCACAGCAGTGCAGGCAGCCTGCTGGGACTTAGCTTGCACTTAAACCTGGTTGAATTTCCACGTCCAAAAGTCAGTAAGTGTGTGGATCAAGGTATTGTGAATAGGCAGAGTGGACACTGAAGGAGATAGCAGAGCCAGTGAAAGAGAGACTGAAGGTCTAGGAGATTACAGACTGTCTCCTTCCTTTCTTCAAGGAAATCATTCGTGTGAGTATACATGCACCCTAATTCTCACCAGTGGCTGCCTGATATGTCAAGTCCAAGGACACTTTGCAGTTCTTGCTTCCTAGTCTTCCATCCTGCACTGGGCCCTTTGAAGCCCACCTCCTGGTTCTCTGTTTCTCTTTGTACATCTCCTGTAATGTGCTGCTGGCCACCTTGTAGAAGCTTCTTCCTCTGCTCACCGCTTCAGGGTTGGCATTCCTTGGGATCTACCCCACCTTCCTTTTCTCTCTATCCACACTCCCTTGCTGAATGAATTCCTCTACTCTTGTGATGTTAACTAACTGAATGCTCTAGTCTGGCCTCTCCGGTTGCCTCCTTGAACTCTGCCTGGATGTCCCACGGTCATCTCAGCCAGTGCTCAGCCTGCCTTCTGCAAAATGCAGTGACTGACACCTGCTGCATGCTGTACACACTGTCTAGTGCCCCCTTCTCCCTCTGCTCCCACCAGGGGAACTGTATGTGTATTCCCAAACCTGGCTATGCCAGTTGTACATGTTGGAATCACGCAGTTTAACTAAACATTAGGAAAATTGATCAAATATGAGCATTAAAAAGCTGTTTTTATAAAAACTAAGTTAAA